AAAGGATGGCTTCCGCTCGACTGAACCTCGAAAGTAGGGCGAAGAGCGCATCGCCGAAAGCGTCATTGATAGCAAAATCATACCACACGTCAGCAGCTAATATCAACCCAATGTCCTCATCGAGGGCGTCGAAGTACGTATCAGGATCCTTGAAGTCGAGCCGTCTGACCGCAACTTTATCGTTGTCCACATTGTTGGTATCACACAGGGACAGAGCAGCTCGTGAAAAATCCGTTAATACAGCTCGTTGGACACACAAGGCTTGATAGAGACCACCCAAAGCGCCGACCCCGCAGGCCAGCTCCAATACTGCAATGCCCTCTACCAGGAATGGGTTCTCCACCAGATAGCAGCCTAGGAACAGTGCACCGTTCCAGAGTTGATCGCCTACGCTGTCCAAATCTGTACACTCAGAGTCACACTGAACAGAGTAGTAAAGCTCATGGGACTTCACAGAGCGAACAAGATCACCGTCAGAGTCGTATTCGAGATCGAAGGACGATTGAGGCAAGGTCCACCGCAGATAGATAGAGTTGGACCCTTTACGGGGCTGTAAGTCTGATGCATACACCATCAAGGGGAAGACTCCAACTGCGACTGTGAGAGTGAACAAATAAGCACCAACGACGGATCTACCGCGAACACTGCGTCTAATAAATCGCCTTCCTCCGTCGTCTACTGCACGGTGCCACATTATGCTGCATTATTAGTGCGTGTTACGACACCCTTACTAAAGCTATTCTCTTTGCCAGGCTTCAACTCGAGAGCATTCAAGTGGGAAAATCGTCGTCAACACGAAGCATGGGAGTCGAGCTGTTCAGAGATGAGTATCTTTTTGATAACTTACAGAATGTTAGTGTTTGCTCATGTAAGAAAACCGAGACAGTCGAATAACCAAGCGTATGTCAATCGCAAGCCGGAGCTCTACGATCACCTGCGGCTATACTCCTCGAATACCCCAAAAGGGTTGATTCATCTCGGATGAGTCATTCGCCGGAGCTTAAATCACCAGAGTGAAACTGCTCACTGTATTGCTCAGTAACACTCTGTAGCAAATGGATCATTCCGCCAGGCAACGCCTGTGAAGCTGACTCGAGAGGGCCAGTGA